GATAGATAGATAGATAGATAGAGATTGATATAAGAGATATAGAGATAGATAGATGGATGGGTGGATGGATGGATGGATAGATAGATAGATAGATAGATAGATAGATGATGGATGGATGGATAGATAGATAGATAGATAGATAGATAGATAGATAGATAGATAGACAGACAGACAGACAGATAGTTCTGCAGAATTCCAGGGCTTCATGGGAACTGGATGAAATTCCCCGACGGGGGAAAAGTTTGCTCCTTCACAGCTGGGCATTCCTAGGAACCAAGTCCAGATGCTTGTCAAGCTCATGACAGCTCATCATCCTGACAGGGCCTGAGAGGCAGCAGCAAGGCTTCTGAAGGCATTTTTTGGTCCTGCGGCCTGAAAAAGTTTAAAAACCCCTGACCTGATGCCACACAGGAGCTTAGTGCAAGACGACAACTTAGTGCAAGATGACAATGTAGTGCAAGACGACAACTGTCCGAGCAATGGACAGCTCTGGAGTTGCAGAAGCCAAACGAAGAGCCAAAGCCATTACCCTCCGATGCACGAGATCTTGACCCCCAAATCACGCCAGCGCCAGTGTTTTGTTCAAGGGGGTTGCAGGTTACGCTCCCTTTCGCCTGCTCCTGTGTGAACATTTTTTCTGACAAGGGATGCCTCAACTCCAGACCTCTGTTGGGAGGGGCCAGGCTGAGTATTAAAGAAGCTGGACCTTTCACAGGCATTGCAGTCAACCTCCATACCTGGTGAAATTTTGGCCCCCGATATGAGGGCCAAAGAATAAATCTGTCCCAAATGATTCTAAGCATCTGCTAGTCTCACCCTTTTAGTGCCAGGCATGACCTGAAGGTAATGGCTTATTGATACTCAACTCATAATTTATTATTTTAATTCTCTCTCTCTCTCTCTCTTTTTGCCTTCCAAGGGCAATTCTGGTGGGGACGGACCTCCAGGGCCCCCAGGTGAAAGGGTAAGGTCAAGGCAGGCGTAACTGAACAGCTGTGCCACAATTTATGCTTCCGATAGAAAGATGGGGCTGGGCTTCTGGATTGGCATCAGTCCTGCCAAGGCAGAAGAATTAATCTGGCTAGATCCTCAGGGAGGAGAATAGCTACCTCCGTGCAGGATGAGCAACACTAACCCTCGTGTCTCTTCCTTCCTAAGGGGCCTTCAGGGCCTCAAGGACCAACAGGATTTCCTGGACCCAAAGGCCCTCCGGTAAGTTCAGCCAAGAGCCGGCCCAGGAGATAGATTTACGTCTGCTTACCCAGGTCTAAAATTGACCGTGAGAAAACTCGGTGCAGAATTTGGTCTGCTGCATGTGAGGACATCATTACGTTGAATATTTTCGGTTTTATTTGTTTGTTCCTTTGTTTGTCAAACATTCACAAGATAACAAGTGTAGGTATGAACATGAACAGGAACGAAGGAAGTAAATACCGATAAATGGGGACAGTAGGAGAGGGACGGTAGGTACGCTGCTGCGCTTATGCATGCCCCCTTTAAGGACCTCTTAGGAATGGGGTGAGGAGGTCCACAGTAGACAGCTTGAGGTTGAAGTGGCGAGGGGTTGAGGCTGTAACCACGGAGTTGGGTAGAACATTCCAAGCGTTGATCACTTTGTTTGGATTTGGCTGAAGTCGCATTTTCTGCAATCGACTTTGGAGCAGTTTACCTTGAGTTTGTATCGGTTGTTTGCCTGTGTACTGTTGTGGTTGAAGCTGAAGAAATCATTGTCAGGCAAGACGTTGTAGCAGACAATTTTGTGTACTACGCTTAGATTGGACCGCAGGCGGTGCAGTTCCAGATTGTCCAGGCCCAAAATTTCGAGCCTGGAGACATAGGGAGTACTGTTGTGAGTAAAGGAGTGGAGTTATCTTCTCGAGAAATACCTCTGAAACACCTGTTCAATCATGCATGTTAATGTCCGATGTAGAGTGTGGGTTCCAGGCGGACGAGCTGTATTCGAGAATTGGTCTGGCAAAGGTTTTGTATGCCGTAGTTAGCAATTCAACATTACCGGAGAAGAAGCTTCACCAAATAAGGTTAACAACTCCTAATGCCTCTTTGGCAATGTTTTTTGAACATTGTTTGAAACCAAGTTTCAATGAAGATCCTGTTTCCTTCTCTAGGGTCCACCAGGAAAAGACGGATTGCCAGGCCATCCTGGGCAGAGAGGTGAAACGGTTAGTCCTTTGATGTATTCATCATTTCAGTTTATCTAGGAAGAGCATTCTCTCTCCCCCCACCCCCCTCTCTCTCTCTTGCCTAACCTCCAAATTATGAACAATCTAGAGAGAAAAAGTAATAGATGCGGAAGTTTCTTCCCAAGCAATATTTTAGCTCCATATTCATTTAATATGTTCTTTGTCCCCAGAAACATTCAGAAAAGTGCAGATTTCAGAGGGTAGCATGCTTCATATGGACAACCATTTATTTCATTGGAAATTAAATAGGGTCATTAAATAGCAGCTGTTGGAGGCTGCATTTAGGATTTGTGGGGCAGACACGGAAGAAAGAGCTTCAATCACCTATTAAAATACGGCTGAAGTTGGGCCTCCGTTCCTCTCAGGGACATCCCCCAAATTCAACCAATGTTTACCTCCAAGGAAAAGCTTTCCCAGCCTCCAACATCTTGTGACATCGGACACAAATGTTTCCTTGACCACAAAAGTCTATCAGGGGTCAAGCAGGTTTTCTGGGCGCACTTTGTGCTGGTTCTGCTTCCGAAATCCATACGGCAGCTTGAGCGCATTGTATGGGTTGATCCGGCAGTCCTTGCTGGGAAAGGGAGCCGCAGGAGAGAGAAGCTTCTTGCTCGATGCATTGATTGGCAGGTATCCTGTTGGCTGTGCAATTGCTCTGCCTAAAAGCCACTGGAAGATTCCCGGAAGGAACTGGGATTGGGCTTCTTCCCTCAACCAGGAACGCCCTTGTTCTAGACCCGGCGGAGATCCCCGCCGGCTCTCTCGGGTGGGGCTATTGAACCTCTTGGCTTCCCCGCACCCAGAGCAGGCAGAGCGCATCACTTCAACCTGTGTGGGAGGAGGCTCCTATTGTTAGGCTTCCAAGTAATAAATCCATAGCAAGCAAGACTCCGAAGCATGTAGATTCCTCAAAGAATACTTTTTTAATTTGGAATTATCATATTGGCACGTATCTGGTGAAAACCGACTCTGAAGTCTCCAGCAGTTTTCACCAAATTAAAAGCAAAAGTTTTCCCACTTTCTCAAAAACAATCAAGTCCCATGGTCCAATCACAGAATGGGCTGGCAGCCGGGTGACATCACTCCGCCTTCTTCTGACCAGGTGTGAGAATGACCTTGGTTCCCAAGAGAAAATACATTGCTTTGGCTAAAGGTTCCCCCCCATCTCAGCTCCCCCCTCCCTATCCCTCAGCTTCAGTGTGGCAAATGGCTTGAGTCAGGTCAGTTTCAGGGTTGACACCTATCTTAGGGACTTCCTTATTCTCCTGGGATTCACAGCACAGGGGACGGCACAGAAGTGTCAACTCATAAAATATTTCTATGGTCTTTTTAGAATTGCCAACAGAAAGGGAGGAGGGAGCAGTGCGGCAGCTTGGAGGGCGAAAATACATTCCATAAATACTTTTTCAAAGATAGCAACTAGGTGTCTGAAGTTTCTGCCATGCAAAATTCTAACTGGAGAGCCTGATTGATAACTCTGGACTATGGAGGTGTCCCATTGGAGAATATGAATTATGAATACACCCAGAGGGGTTGAGGGGGAAAACCAGGGTCAACGGTGACAATGAATGATGTGTCTCAGAGTCAGCTACACCCAGGCAGTGCCGGACATGGTAACTCCCAATAAATCCTTTTGAAGTTTTGGAAGTTTGGCTCGAGACTCATGATTTAAATGGGGGTAACTGCCGGAATCCTGACAGCCAGCTTGCCTGGACTATGGCATCCAGGAACCTTCAGGAAGGAAGACTAGGTCAAATTGGGTGGAAAAGCACTTGAGGTTATTTTACCCTTAAACCCCTTAGACCCCTGTAGGCTCTGCTTCCTCATTATGTCCCCTTCCAAATATTGGATGAGTTGGATTTTTGCATATTGAAGCGGGGAGAGGGTTTGCTCCAAGAGACTATAAGCCAGGGGTCTTCAAACTTGACAGCTTGAAGACTTGTGGACTTCAACTCCCAGAATTCCTCCTCCAGTCATGTTAGCTCAGGAACTCTGGGAGTTGAAGTCCACAAGTCTTAAACTTGCCAAGTTTGAAGACCCTTGCTATAAGCCATTTCTCCTTGCAGCTGTAGAAAGCCCAGCAAAAGCATTTTCAAATGAACCCAGTGGAATTGGTTGCCTTTAGGGGACCAGAGATGTCCATCGCCTCTCTCCAGAATGTCAGCTTCAACCCCTCACTCCTCCAGGACAGGATTAGTGGGCCAGAGGTTGTCCAGGTAGATGGGCAGCTACACACGTAATAAACAAGGTCCCTGTTCTCTCCAGACAACCTTCACCTCTTCTAATGACTGCCTTCCTTAGCTTTCAACATTTCCGCTTTAAGCCTTTGGTAACCTCTTGGCTGGCTTTTGAATGTCCAGATTCTATCTCTATCCTGGTTTCGTTTCCTTCCTTCCTTCTCCTTCCTTCCTTCCTTCCTTCCTTCCTTCCTTCCTTCCTTTCTTTCTTTCTTTCTTCTTCCTTCCTTCCCTCCTTCCTTCCTTCCTTTCTCTTGGCAATATTCATTCTTCCAAAGGTGGTAAGTGAGCTTATGAAAAGAGACCCTGTCCTTATTTGTTTCTATACATGGTCTGCTGCTGTTTTGCCCTTTAACTGATCCTTTCTTCTTTTTCCAGGGCTTCCAAGGGAAGACAGGTCCACCTGGACCCCCAGGTGTTGTTGGTCCACAGGTGAGCCATTCCCAGATTCTCTGGTCAAAATTCCTTTTCCCCCCCAGCTTTCCCCTGTTGTCTCTCCAATTACTTTCTAATTTCTAGAAACTCTGCCAGGTTAATGACAGTTTAAATTCTGTATCACAGGGTAAATAACATGTTTATGTCTGCTTTCTGTGTTATAAAAGTCTACCAACCGCTAATTATGTTTGGAAATGCTAAAACATAATTAGTGTGCATTACCAAGGTTTCCTAAGTGAGAAGCTTTATGCCCTGGCTTACAGTTCAGGATGCAAGATCTGGGGCTTCTAGGGTGGCCACAGCAGAGTTGAGGTCAGTGGAAGAAAGAAAAGTGGGAGATGTGTCCACTTACTCTCTCATTTCTGGTGTTATGGTGCTGTAAGGAAGCTTACAGGATTTTGAGCAACAGTACAGAACAGTAAAAACTCAATAAAAGCCACCGTACTAAAAAAAAAAAAGGAGCATTAAAAAGGACCGTTGTTATTTAATACAGGGATCCCTGACCCCTGAGCCACAGCCCATTACCAGGCCATTTGAAACTGGCCTGCATGACTGGTAGGCTGGCACGCATAGACATGCATGTACAGCTCAACTGCACGTGTCCAGCTGGGTCGCCAAGGTGCAAAGGTTGGGGATCGCTGATCTAATAGATGGCGCATGATAGATTACAAACCAACATTCGGTAGACCAAATTGGTAGATCAACCAGGGAAGTCAAGACAAAGTTGACACAGTCAAGAGGAAGGTGCTGTCCGGATCCCTGGTTGGGCAGGATTTTCAGATGTGTACAGGGAGGTTCAGAGAAGCAACAGGAGCAGATTTGCTTTCATTACTCATTAAATTAGCTGCTTGCACTTGGGGCAGCCAATTTGGATGGTCTTAAGCAAGGTCTGGAGAGGCTGTGGAAGCCCTGGGCGCTTTGGGGCTGTGTAACTACTTCCCCAGTCCTAGGCACCAGCAGACCAGTGACAACACCAGGGTTGCCATCTGGCCGTTTTTCCGGCCAAATTCGAGAAATTTGGCCGTATAGAAATCTGTTTGGCCGTGAAAAAAATTGGCCGGAAATTTGGCCATATGAAAGTTGCTTGGCCGTGAAATCGAAATTTTGGCCGAATACCGGTTTTCAATACAATAT